TATTACAACTCATATTTCTGAGAAAGATTTTATTGTTCACTTACTTTATCCAACACGGTCTGTCTTTTTGCCTCGAGACTAGGCTCCAGCAACAAGTTTTTTTCTGTAAAATAAAGTCACTATTACTACTTTTTTTAAAGGATTTGGTTCGCAGAACACAGCCACAGATGCTAATGTTTCGACATCTTACTTGCCAGCTCTTCAATGCTTTTCACTAACTCATCTCTATCAGTAATGACTTGCTTCAGTTGTGGTAGAGTCACAAACTGTTCCAGTAACACTTCCTCTTGCTCGTTCATGTTGGTCAGCTGTGATATACTATATTTAAATAGAAAGAAAGCAGATTTAAAGCTAACAGCAAACATTACATGTAGAGTTACTCAATTTTGCCAAAAGTAAAAAAATTTGAGGCATTTATTGGGACTTTACAGATACATGATACTTGATAACAACTTATTTTTCCCCCTTCTCCTGGATTGAGGGCTCTACTATCTGCAGCAGTGAGCTTACAAAGCAGTGTGTTAAAAAGTATCTAATTTCAAGCCTTACTTCCTATAAAGTGTTTTTTAATGCTACTATAGTGACCTTGGCCTGCTATCAGACACCCACCCAGCTGCTCTCTCAGCCCCTCTCCTCAACAGGATATAAGAGAAAAGCTTGTGGGTCAAGATAAAGACAGGGAGATCACTTACCAATTATAATCACAGGCAACACGCACTCAACTTGGGAAAAATTAATTTGATTTATTGCCAATTATAGTAAAAGTTGGAAGGTAAGAAAGAAAGAAAAAGACTAGAACACCAGGCTCAACTTCACTCCTTCATTCCCAACTCGTCTACCTCCTCCTGCCCCAAGCAGCACAAGGGGGAGGGAATTGTAGGTGTCACAGTCAGTCCGTAACAGTTCGTCTCTGCTGCTCCTTCCTCCTCACACTTCTTCCCTGCTACACCATGGGTCCCTCTCCACAGGCTGCAGTTCCTCGCAGCAGGGGCTACTCCAGTGTGGGGCCCTCCATGGACTGCAGTGTGGATAGCTGGTCCAACACAGTCCTTTCCATGGGCTACAGGGAAATACCTGTTCTACTGTGGTCTCTTCCAAAACTTCCATGGGCTGCAGATGAATATCTACTCTGGCACTTGGAGCACCTCCCCCCTCTTCTTCTCTGACCTTGGTGTTCACAGGACTCTCGCACTTTTCCACCCCTCCCCTCAATCCTCACTGCCTCTGCAGCAAATGCGTTTGCATTAAAATGTGTTTTCACAGAGGTACCACCTAATTCACTGATCGACTCAGCTGTCCTGCAGTGGGTCTGCTGCCAAGCTGGCTGTGCCTGCCACAGGGCAGTCCCTGGCCCCTTCTCAAAAAGGCCACTCATGCTACCAAAACCTTGCCCCCTACACACAATAAAGCTACTCAGAACAGCTGCAATACCATTTGTGATTTAACTCAACTACCACCAGAAGAATCATGGAATTTCAATCTGGCTTCTTGGAAGGACCAAACTTGACTAGAAGGTTTTGTTTAAACAAACAAATGACACTTCCCCCCAAACCCTTAACTTTCTGCTATGTAATAAGGATGCTGCTAGAACTTACAGCTGATTTAGCCAAATTAAATAGGCTCTTAGAAAGGTGTCAAGGGAAACAAAACAAAAAACCCAACCCAGAAGTCCTTCTTGCCAGAGGTCTTTTCCTTTTCGAAAGGACAGAATTTTCAATCACTAAACTGTGACACCACCATAAAGATGTGAGATCAGAAAGAAACCAATCTCCTAAGACCCTTTCAGAATTAATAGCTAATTTGTAATCTATTCAATCCCAGATAACTGATCATAGAATCACAGAATGGTTTGGGTTGGAAGGGACCTCAAAGAGCATCTAGTTCCAAACCCCCTGCCATGGGCAGGGACACCCTCCACTAGACCAGGTTGCCCAAAGCCCCATCCAACCTGGTCTTGAACACTTCCAGGCAGGGGTCATCTACAACCTCTCTGGGCAACCTGTTCCAGTGCCTCACCACCCTCACAGCAAAGTGTTTTTTCTAATCTAACCTAAACCTAATCTAATCTAAATCTACCCTCTTTCAGCCTAAAGCCATTACCCTTTGTCCTATCACTCCATGCCCCTGTAAACAGTCCCTCTTCAGCCTTCTTGTAGGCCCCCTTCAGGTACTGGAAGGCTGCTATAAGGTATCCCTGGAGAGGAGGAGGCTCTGTTCTCCTGGCTGAACAACCCCAACTCCCTCAGCCTGCCTTCAAAGGAGAGGTGTTCCAGCCCTCTGATCAGCTTCATGGCACTCCTCTGACCTAGGAGGCTGCCTCATTAGCTCTGAGCAAATTGCTGGGAACAATAACTGATACAATTTTTTTTAATTGTGATATGATTTTGATGAAAATACTTGTGTAATTTGTGTATGAAGTGTTTAGATGTGGAAGTGATTTGCACTGGGACAGCTGGCACATTTACCACCTGGATTTATCTAACCCAATCCCTCTGTACATGCTGAGCTGCTCACAAAGTAGTCCATTGTTTACCCTGCGCTGCAGTCCTTTTGAATTTAAGAGAATGTAGTTTGTAAATGAGTCACAAGTCCATTTCCCTGTCCCCTTTCCTCCTTCACAAGTTACACTTACTGTATTAGTAAAAATTAAGTCCCTGGCAAGACCTCAGAAGCAGCAGAACACTGACAGTTAGGAAAAGTGAAAGTAAATGCTTTTTTTTTCCTGGTGTTGAATCCTAAAGTACTGCTCCTGCTGAGAAAACCCTAAACAAACAGCATATTTGAATACAAGGCTGGCTTACTTTCTGACTCTACAATTTTGGTAAGTGGTAGTTCTATTTATAATTTCTACAAAAACTCTTCAGCGATGCATACTGACTTCTGACAAAAATCAGATACAGACCAGCAGTGATTGCCTTTTAATGACTATGGGAAAATTTACCTTAGTTCTGCGAGTTCTGGAAATGTATCAGGAACATCAGGCATCTTGTAAGTCAGTCCATTCTGGCCAACCTAAACGGAAGTTCAGAAATGCTTAGTAGATTTTTGAAGAACAATTTCTTGATATTTAACCTGATTAATCCAAAACTGGAGATGAATATTTGCCAGCAACAAAAAAAGTAGGAAAAACAGTAAGAAGCAGTAGCACTAGTCTCTGAATAGAAAAATACCTCAACTCAACCATGGCAACAAAATACTTGGGGCATGTCCGACGAGTCAATTTTGGAGGAAAATAATCCTGTCATGCTATGTCCTCCATTTGACAACAGTTGGATGACCCAGGAAACACACAGAATTATAACTCAGGGAAGTGAAAACAGAGAAAGAGATTGACATTTTGATCTCTTTCACGTGTTTTTTAAAACTATAATCCCTTGGGGAAAAAAGTTTTTAGACAAGGAAAAAAGTCTGTCTTCATAGAATGTAGAAATTTTAAATTCCACAAAGCCAGAAAAGCGTCTTCCAAGACTAAGAAAGCTTTTTTTTCCTAAACACAAGATTTGATGAAAGCCTGAACATTTAGATATAAAGTTTTTGGAGGACATTCACAAAAATCCTTCCAGAGTGCATCAGTGAGAGGGAGTTTGTAAGTACACACATACAAGATCTGTGAAGAGAAGCTATTTTAAGCATGAAAACAAGAAATAAATACCTTACACATCAAGGCTTGAAACTGCGCACTGTTCTCACCTGACAGGTTCTGGGCAGGAAATCCCATATAGAGAAAAGGATCTCATTTTCTATGGCTGGAGAAACAGTCCCGGCTGCACTATGGGGGACTGCAGCTCCAAAAAACCCAAAAGTATAGTCACAGATATTTAGCATAATACTAGTTTCACTCAGAAAGACAAACTTGTTGGTCTGACTTCAAGTTTGTTCTAAAAAACTTTTCATCAAAGCCAGAATGACAGTTTCATTTTCTTAGCACCAGCAAAACAACGAAGTGCAGTCACTCAGACTGTTCCCTTGAGTTTTGTGGCAGTGCCCTGTGTGCCCTTGAGGGAACCTGTACCCAGTGTCTGATAGCTCAAGCAGCAAAACTCAGCGCACAGACCTGAAGCACTGCTTCTGCTGTCGGAACAGGTAATGGCAGATCAGCAATCAAGCCGTAAGAGGGAGCAGCAGGCTTGTCTGTAGTGTAGCTTGAAGGAACTGATTCAGCAACTGGCACGGCTGCCATTGTTCTATTTGTTTCTTGAGGTGGGTATGGAGGAAGAAATGGAAACCCCTGAGGAGCATAAGGAGGCATTCCAGCTGGTTTGTTGAAAAGGCTAAAAGCAAACAAACACACACAACCATAAGCAACCATCTGCTTACAGATTTCTTATCATTTGAATTATATCATTACTGGACCACATACAAGACCTAAGATTGAATCTTTAAATGACCATAAACTTTGCATTTTCTGTTCTCAGTTACTTCCAATGTAACAAGTCTACTTTATGCCTTATACTGCAACATATATAAAACTCCATTAAACTATATTCTTGTAGAGCAGCCAAATACACAGTCGTACTCTTCATTATAAGAAAACTACCCAAAAAATTATGAGACCGTAAATTTAAGTTGTTTCCATCTAAAAGTCCTGAGAAATGCATCTGTGTCATACATTAGTTCTTATTTACGGTATAGCATTTAACAGCTTGGGCAACACTCACATAGTTACTTCTAACTAACATGAATGATTTTTTTTTCAAATTCTCAACTGCAGCTGCATCTAAATCCAGTGACATTGTCAGCCATGAGTTGTACTGATAAAGCTGTAATGTCTGAGACCACTTTTGCATTTTTAATACATTTATTTAAATTGTACAATTTGTGTTGCAGTTGTGCAACAGAAGCTGCCTCTCAGCCTGGGAGATTACAAACAGAATACAAAGAAACACAACTGCTCAGATCATGTTCTACAGCAAATTCAAGATTTCATCTGATAATGTAAACATTTATTCTTTTTCAAGAAAACAGAAGCACAGCATGTTGACGGAGTAACTCCAAGGAAATCTAGTGTTTCTTCCCAAAACAATCATGCCATCAAAGATGCACCTGAAACTGTGCAAGGGTAGGGAATCTATGTCTCCCAATACATCCACTACATTATTCCTGTTCCTGCCCTCCCAATACTTGTTTTCATCTCTTTTTTAAAAATGTAAGTTAATACACATAGTTCCATTCATCATGTTTATAGATACTTACTATGGAAATGATGTTGAGCTAGAGGCCAGAACTGGAGGATTCTTCCAAAACTCATCCAGTAAACTTTGAACAATTTTTCCAAGATCTGAGTGCATTGTAAACTGGTAAAAACAAAAAACACACAATGCAGAAGAAAAATTATGCCTAGAATCCAATAGTTCCAAAATGTGGTGAACTTGACCGTTTATTATACCCACATGGCAGTGCTGGAAGCTATTTCAAAGTCACATGAGCTAATGTAAACTGTGTCTACATAAGCTCCAAATAAAGTGATAAAGCCACCCAGAACTGAACAGAAACTAAAAGTCTTTTGTATATTCCATTATCAATGGAGAATCAATCAAGTTACCTTAGTTACCAAGTTACATTTGGGAAAACAAAGAAAGGGAAAAAAAAAAATCAAGATTTGAGACAAAAAGCATTAATGGCATTCCAAAAAAGATATAACCTCCCCCTCAACCCTACCCCAAAAAACTAGACATCCTTGTTGGCAAAGAAAAAAAAAAAACACAAACCAACAAAAACCCAAAAAACCACCAAAACAAAGAGGAAAAAATAACCCCAAAGAGGAAAAAAAACAAAAAACAACAAAGACAAAAAAAAAAAGCAGCATATTAAAATCCAAATATGACAGCTAAAACCTTGACATCTTTCTAATAGGATTAGGGTAGAAAGAACTACGTTACAAAACAGTCTTAAAGCATCCTTCTCCCTTTTTTGGAATACATTGTAGAGAAACAAGAACTGTGCTATCGGTACTAACAAGAAGAGTGATAGGAACTTTCTAAGTCATCATAACTTAAAATAGTTTTAGATATATGGAATACTCAACTCAGTAACGGTAGTAGCAAAAGAATAAACAGTAGTAAACTGAACGCTACTGAATTTTTGTTTTCAGATCCCTCAAAATACATTTTGAGAGGGATCAGGATCTTTACTAGTCTTTTTTACCGGATGTATTAGCAATAATCTAGTGTGACGTGTATTAAAATTCCTATTAACAGTAGATATATATGAAGCTATAAATTATACATACATTACTTATTAATGGACCGGTCACATATATTCCCTGCTTGTCCATTAAATGATGTCTCACAGGTGGGAAAACACTGATGACTGGTTTTTCCTGAGGAAACTGAGGTGGAAGCAAGCTGCAAATACAACAATAATCATTACTATAGCCACATCCCATGATAAAGTTTGCATAAGAAGGCTTCTTATGCAAAGAAAAAGTACTATTAAATGCATAAATTTAATTTTCTGTGAGAAGAGTTATGGAGAAATACAGAGCGAATGAAGCACACAAAAGGATTATTCAGTTACAAAATTAGAAGTCAGACAGATTAGAATACCAGACTTCCACAGAACTGAAGAGAGTATTTAAGCTGTAGCATAACAAGAATATTTTCTAATACGAATGTTATTACTACAAAGATAATGCAGTGTAACCTGCAAGAATATCAGGCAAATGATCAGGCATGAGTAATAAAAAACTTGTGAACAGAATACAATCAATATTTGCCAGAGCAAGAGCATCCCCCCAAAGTAAATTCACAGGAAATAGTACAATAAATCACTTAAGTTATGAGCCAGAAGCTTCACTGGGGTAACAGTTAGGAGTTACAGCAGACTAGTAAATTACTCGTTAAGGTTATTTTCAGTAGTAGCGGATTCAAAGTCATCAGAAACCCTTACGCGTTTTCTCCTACTTACCTTCAACTAAAACCACATTGCTTTTAGGAGCTGAGCACAGCAAAATATAGTTTTGCTTTCAGCTGAGTATCTGCATCTTGTACGGAACTAGTTTCACTCATATCACTACAACTACTAATGCAAATCCAGGTTACAGTTCCTGAAATTAGTTATGAGATGGGAGCCATTTATGTTCTATTACTACTTTTTTGAGAACAATTTTAAAGATGTGCATGGAGATACCTCACTCTACTTACATGTTAATATTAATTGTCAAGTTGTTTACAGTGAACGGCAGTCGATATTCCACATCTTTCTGAATTTCTGCAATGCTGCGTAAAGAAGAAATTGTTAGCATCCAATTCATAGTCAATATAACAGCCTGAACTCTAAAAAAAGTAAAACTTTTGTATTTAGTTTAGTTTCGAAAAGCTTTTTAAGAAAAAAATTGAAAATGCTGGAATAAGTTTTACATGCTTCAGAATGCTATACAGAATATTAAGATTAAAGCACAGAATAGTGGATTCCATTTTTAAACTTCATACATGTTCATAAGCAATGGAAATACTGTAGGAGAAATTGTGCTACCCACTAATCTGACAACAATCTCAACTTATTTTTGTCCACTTACTGGCTTAATCTTAATCACCACATCAGTGATTTTTTTTTATATACTGAATTTAACCTGATAAAACATCTACTTTGCCAAGGCATTACACTTCGTTCACAACTAAGTACTGCTCTGCAACACTACCTACAGACCAATATTTAGAACATACATTACACTAGGCCTTCTTCCTTAATAGATGAATTTACTATTTAATAGCAGTTTTTTCCATGCACCAAGTTCCATGCACTTGCACAGATATTTTCAAGCATTATCTGAAGAGCTACTTGCGAGAATGTAAAGCTCTAATCTAGTGACACTCAAGACACAGACGCCCTTTGAAAGCACAGAGTGAAGAAATATCTCTTATGAAATATGGTGAGACTGAATCCAAATTTGTTTCTCCTGTAACAGCTAAGCTACTAAGAAAAATCTTTAAATCAGCTGGACTAATAGGAAGTTAATGTCAATACTCAAAGTACCCTACAACTTGTATGCACAGCAAGGCCTTTTTGAAAGATGGCATCCCAAAGAATGCGGAGGAGGAGGAGTAGAAGACTCAGCTCAGAGGCAGAATTTCCAGACAATATGAACATACCTAAGCTGGGACTGGGAGAGAAAGCAGGGCAGAAAATTAGCTTAATCTTATAATGCCTCCATCAAAACAAACTTAGAAAGCAGACTGATTCCTCTTCCACATATTTTTCCTGCCTGTGCCTGGTTAATAATATTCCTCTTCCTCACCTCTCTGAGGCTCCCTTACAAGGGAGGGAACACAGCTCCAATTGGGAATAATGGCAGCTAGGTGTTCCCAGAAAGTGTCTTTGCACCCAACTTCAGAAATGCCCCTCCATCCATCCCCAGGTACACTCCACACAATTACTTCCTCAAAAACCCCAGAACACATTACCTGCAAATGTATGTTATGTGCAATGCTAGGAGTGTTTTGTATCCCTCCAAAGCATTATCTGCACATAGAATTTTAAACTCTAGTTTTCAGAGCTTAGGGAATAAATAGAGTAAGACACAGACCTAGCACCTTGCTTTTCACAGCCCGACCTTATCCCTCTCACAGACAACTCAGTATCTGCTCTTTCC